GCCGCTGCCCTGCCCCAACTTGCACTGCCCCAGCCCCTTGGGAGGTGGACAGATAAGTCTCTCCAGGCTACAGAGAGGAGGAACCGTGCTGGGGGGAGGGGCCTGGGGTCAGACCATGCACAGGGAGTGACAGTCATGGCCCCCACCACCTCCCTATGGGAGGTACATGGTGGGGGTTGGAGAGTGGACACCAGAGGCCGGCAATGGTTCTTCTTCCAGCATCAGGCAAGAGACAGAACTGGGGAAACAAGGAACAGTCAGGCCTCAGAACCGAACCACAGTCCCTACCTACACTGTTCAGCATTGCCCCCTTCCCAGGACCCCACCCCCCTTCCAGGGACTCTATATTCTCAGGCCCTTACCAGTCAGAGCCTCCTGGGCAAAGTACTTGACATCCACATCCTGGTCTTGGGTCAGCTTCTCCAGGATGGGCTTGACTTCACTCTGCAGTGTGCTGGAGAGGGAGAAGCAAAGAAGGTGGTGAGCCAGGCTAGGCTGGGGCAGCGGGTCTCAGGTGGGAAGCATCAGAGACAGACAGACACACCAAATCACAAGGCAGAGTACAGGACAAGGACACACAAATATAAAAATGAGAAATCCCTGATCCCTAGGCTCGGCGTCAGCTAAACAAGGACAGCTCTGGAGAGCCCAACACATCTTGGATCTGAGTAGAGCCTTTACTGACGAAATGAATATTCACGAAGGCACCATGTGTCTGGTATGAATACAAAGGTGCATGGCTCTAGACTCTTTCCCGGATGAGCCCAGACCAGAAGACAGGACCAATCAAAGGCTTCATGGTTTCAAGGGACCTACAAGTGGCGTCTACCTGGGAGATCTGCCTGTCCTGTAATTAAATTGAGACATGCAGGAACATGTCAGAGACCAAGGTGTAAAGCTATGGAGCAGAGACAAGACATACTGGCATCAGATGTTCCCTTTAGTTAGAGGAAGCTCCTCTTCTCTCCATACAATCACCGCCTCATTAACACCCAGAGTTGTTTTGTTTCTGTTTACTTGCTTGCTTTGTTTGTTTTGAGGAGGCAGGTCTTACTACATAGTTACATGTGACCTCAAACTATGTAGACCAGGCTGGTCTACCACTCATGACCCTCTTGCCTCAACCTCTAGAGTGCTGGGACTACTGGAAGCTGTGTATCACTATGCCTGGCTATTAGATCTTTTACCCCAAATAATTTATTTACATGTCTGTGTGTGCACTTTTAGGAGTTCACAGTCATCAGTGTGTGTGTGTCAGTTCTTGGAAGCCAAAGGAGATACTGGATACCCTAAGACTTAGAGTTACAAGCACTTGTGAGTTTTTGTCTGGATGCTAGGAAGTGAACCGATGCCCTACAATGCTCAGCATCTAGTGAGATGCACCTCCTCACGTGCTCACTGAGCATGTGAAGATCCTATGTTTAAGTTACACAAAATCAGAGGCTTCCTCACGACGCTGTCACATATGGCTTTGATGGGCTACTTGCCTTCTCTCCTCGTGACTTGCACCTTCCAGCTTCCAATACCCCACTCGAATGCCACAAGCCCTACTTGCCTCTGTCTTCTTCCCATCTGTGTCTTGAAGTTTCCTTGTCTTCCTATCAGATTCTAGATGAGTTCTTTACACATAAGAACGTCTCCACCCTGTCAGGGGTTAGGCTTCTGATAAATGGCTTTTCATCTGCATAAAGGCCACCTTACCAATCGCTTCTTTCACAACTTAGCTGGTCTAGGTCCTGCCCAAGTCAGGAAGACATTCTTCTATAATTTCTACAAGTTTAATTCATCATCCTGGTTCTGGTTTGAAAACTAATTTCAGATTAACTTTTTATGCAGCAGCAGGAATTTCATTTATTTTACACAGGCATCTGAGTGACCCTGCCATTTTTTAGAAAATGGACAATTCTCCATCAAACAACAATGGTATCTACTGTTTTGTGTGCTCTGGAAAATGTTCCAGCAAGACATGAATATCCCACCTTGCTGTTTGTTAATTATGTATACATGTTTCCCCAAGCTTCCTGGGGCACTGTTTAATAGCTTCACCAGAAATGTTGTGTAATTTATTACATGTATTTTTGGTTTTTGATGTCTGTGGTACAAGTATAAATTTTAGACACAAGCGTAACTATCTACATAAACACAGTACATAAATAGTTATGTACATAAATTTCATTTTGTAGTAATTTGTTGCAGTGTAAGGCCGCAACTACCAACTGCCCTCTCTTTTTCTTCATTCTATTCTGTGGGAGTGAATCCTCATTCTAAAATAGAGAAAACAGATGTGGAGAGGAAAGAACAGGCTAGGGTCACAAGAAAGGTTTCAAACCCTGGGCTACATCTTTAAATATATAAGATGTTTAGAACAAGACCCAGACCTCACCTGTTGTCAAGAATGGGTCCTATCTTCTGTAGGGATTTGGCGACATTGAAGCGGACATTGGCGACTGGGTCCCCAGCCATACGAAGAACCGTGGGCAACATGTGCTTGGTGGTGATATCCTGCCCACAGACCTCAGACAGCACCTGAGACCAGTAAACGGCAGAAGCAGGGTTACTCAAGGGTCAGTGCTAAGTCCCCATGTCTCCCCACTGACCAGGCCACCTGGGTCATCGCCAGATTGTAGCCCTAAACTCCCTGTCTTCATTTGGGGATGGTCTGGGCTCTATGTGTGGATTTCCTTCATCCTCAGTGTTTGAGTGGTTTAGATTCCTAACCCCTGAAATCCCTGCTTAATACAGGAGTCTCCGAATTGTAGTATGGAGGAAATGTGCAATATATTTTCCTAAAGTCATTTGCACCCCATCCTTTAGTTTCTAGTTTGGGTAGGAGTTACCTGTCAGTAAAGCAGTATGCCCATGTAATGCTAATGAATACGAACGAGTAAGTCTACTCTGACACAGAATCACAACTGTTCTGTGCACTCTATTACATTACTCTTCACAGCCTGGTGAGCACCAACATATGTAGGGGAAGCTGTAGCCACGCCCACTTAGGGGCTGGCTACAGATGTGCCTGACCACGCCCTTGCAAGCTTGTGAGAGCGTGGTCAGGGGACGTAGGGTGACTGCGTTTTCGCTTTCGGTTTCTCTTTTGGGCTTGCGTACAGATTGTTGCCACGCTGGCTGGCTAGGTTGCTCTGGCTAGGTTGCTCGGTAAGTAAGGCTTTTCCCTTTTAAATACCCTTACATTTCTACCTGACTCCCTATTGGTAATTTCCCACTATAAACATACATCCCCAAAGGCGAGCAAACCAAGATATTGACTGGTCAGGTCCTTTGGTGTGTGGCACAGCTGGAATTGAGCTGGACAGTCTCCAGAGCTACACATTTGCTCTCCTGCTCAACAAGCACAAGGTGCTGCCGTGTGAACACATGTGCCCTGCTGCCCAGCAACAAGTGGAGGGTGCTCAGAACTTCAGACCGCTGCTCTCAACACACAAGCTCACCAATCCTGCAATCTCTCACTGTGCAATCCCCGGTCCCCAGAGGCCTGAACTGACACTGCAAACTCAGGCTCAGGCCTGCAGTCCTCAGAGACTCATCCCTGGCACCAAGTTATGTTTCTGTTTCCAAGGGCAACACCTGGGTAGGTAAGCGCCCCCCTCCACCTTCGTTTCAGGGAGACACTGGTCACTTGGGGTCGATAGGCAGCTGGGGTGCTCACATTGATGCAGAAGAGTGTAGTCATTCGGTGCAGGTAGTTAGGGTCTCCAGACATGGCTAAGACCTTGGGGATGATAGTGGCATGGGCCCACTCCTTCCCGAACTTCTCCACCAGCTTCTTGAGGTTGCTGGTGGCAGCCTCTCTGAGAGCTGAGACTGTAGCAGGGAAAGGACAAGGGGGGTGATTTGGGGTGAGTGACTGACTGAGAGGGGTGACAGTCACACCTGTTTCTGCCCACAGCCAGACCACACACAGGTGCAGTCAACTGACCCAAAACAGGAAATGGCGCTTGCTACGCTGTACCCTGTCTCTTCTCATACAGCACCTTCTGGCCACCCAAACAGAAAGACTCCATTTGCCTCATTATTCAGGCATGCTAACTGAGGCTCTGCTTGTGCAAATTGTATCTCAAGTTATTTAATGCATACTACTTAAAACTGCCTGACAGAAAAAACAGTGACTCTTTTTTATCCACTTATTAGGAACAAGTCTCTCAAGGGCTGGAGAGACACATGAGTGTAACGCTGCAAGATGGGAAGGGACTTGCTTATGCTTCATCAAAGAGAAGGGTTCAAATCCATGCCTTTCTGCTTGGTGGCTCTCCAACTCCAGTCCAGATAACCCACCCCACATCTTCACTTCTCTCAAGATTTTTTTTTTTTTAACAGCAACAGAGTGGGTCCCGGTGAGCACTGACAGCAAGGAAACATGCCAGCTCTGTTCATTGCCATGGCTACAAACCCCTCCTACTGTGTTGCTGGCGTACTTACCATGATCAACCAGCCAGGCCATACACAAAGAGTTGAGTTTCTCATCAAAAAATTCCACACCCTGCAGGAAAAAAAAAGATTGGTAAGGGACTGAGGGGTAGGGAGAAGGAATTGAGGGAGGGGAGGAGGAAGGGGTCCCAGAGAATCAGGCAATGCTGAACCCGTCAAAGCTACCAGCCTTCTTCCTCTGCCTAAACTCCATGCAGCATCTGCTGAGGGCCCAGTTCCCGAGTCCAGTCCTCCCCACAGGCAGCTCTCAATGCCTACACCAAGGCTTCAAGCCCCTAGTAACTGCACCACAGCCCTGGTCCTGGGGCCATGACCAGACCAGATCAGACCCCCAAATCTATCACCTCAGGGCCAACAAAACCTGGCTCCTCACTCACCAGCTGTCCAGCCAGCAGAGGCATGTATTCACTGATGGCCAGCCCCCCCCGCCACTTGGCATCCTCAGCCAGCTCCACAATGGCGGGGAGCAGGGACTGAGAGAGCTGCCGGATGCCGATCACCTCGTTCACGCAGTCCAGGTTGGAGATGATGTTCAGCCGTACCTCAGGGCACTTGGGAAGAGGACAGGCGGGTTAAGAGAACACAAAACATATGGAGGCCCAAGGAGCGTGTCAGGAGCAGGCAAGAGCTCCCCTCTGGGTATCGCCTGTGACGGGCAATAATCAAACAGCCATCTAGTCTCCCAGCAGCCGAGGCTCTGCAAAGTGAAATGGGAGCCCCTCGATGTGCCCGAGTTGCTAGTGTCTGGACCCATTCGCTATCATTCCCATCATTTCAACTGCTAATGCCAGACCAGGGAGGACATGTGATGAGTCTCAGAACTGCCAGACTCCAAGCAGTGCGAACCCTGATTTACAGTCCATAGCCATTCCCACTCATGCCACAGAGCAGAGACATCTATAGGAACAAACGCATAGACCTCACAGAGGCCACTGAAAGCAACTTTTCCAGAAAACCCCAAACCCAGAAGAGTTTGTTTTGTTTTGTTTTGTTTTTTTTCTATGGTGGTGGTAATAGAAACTGGACCCAGAGCTGCGAATGTTAAGACCTTTCAAGTGACTTCACTAACTTTGTCTAAAGAAAGACTTCTGGAGTAGGAACAGCCTGTGAGGAAATCTATGTCCCAGCCTGGGAACTGGGTTGCCATTATAGAATCAGCTACTGGGTACTCTATCAAAGTGCTCCATTAAAGAATTAGAAGGGGGCTGGAGAGATAGCTCAGGGGTTAAGAGCACTGGGTGTTCTTCCAGAGGTCCTGAGTTCAATTCCCAGCCACCACATGGTGGCTCACAATCATCTGGAATGAGATCTGGTGCCCTCTTCTGGCCTGCAGGGATACATGCAGGCAGAACACTATACATAATCAATAAAAATAAATCTTAAAAACAAACAAACAAAAAACCAAACAAACAGAAAAAAAAGAATTAGAATGGGTAGCATCACTCTGGGCTGGCACCCCAAGAACACTGGCCCTTTCTCTCACCTCTCCCTAATACTGGCTACACTCTCCTAAAAAGATCTCTTTCAGCCACTGCGTTTGTCTACATATTCAAATCCAATTCCCTGAGCTGTCACCACAGTGACATCTTTTCTTTTCTGTGGTCTAGGCCACCTGCACAGACAAGTATGGTGACCTGACTGGCTATGTCAATGGAACATGTAGAAGACACAAGCTAGAGAGAAGCCCTTCAATGAGCCAAGAGATAAAATTATAGCTGTGACCTCAGACCAAGAAAGCCAGGCCAGCAAAGCTAATACCTCACCACAGGACCAGCTGGGACGATGCGAGAGGAGTAATGGTAACTTTCTATGCCACTGTATTAGGGGCTTTGTGGCACATGAGCCTAAAAACCATGGCGCACCTCTCCCAGTACCGACAGTATCTGAATGGAACTACGTCTGTTCCTCTCCACGGGAACACTCTGTGGGGCTGTAAATATCACCACCACTGTCCTGGTCTTTTTTATACCCTCAGCACTCAGGGGAAGGATGAGTGCAATGTGAAGGGCGCATGAAGCATGTCTAACAAGAGTGAACAAGCAGACACTCACACCTGTCGTTGAGAAGGGAGTGTGGTGTGTGCTGTGTGGTGCCAAGACTCTAAAATACTCTTGGTCAACCCGGCGAACTGCAGTCTGTCATCTCTGCAAAGAGCTGAAAACCTTCCTGGTACTCTTACCTCATCCTTTAGCTGAGCCAAGAAGAGTGGCAAGAGGTGCTCAATGGTGTTGTCTTTGCCCAGAATGGGAGAGAGGCCCATGATGACTGAAGCCAGTGCTGACTTGACATGCTGGTTGGCATCTGACACGAGTTCCTGGGGAGGAGAAGGATGCAGCTCAGTGTCTGAGTGGCTGCACAGACATCAGCCCTGCTGGCCTGAGGAGACCACACTCTCCCACGTGTAACATAGGCAGGGCAGCTCAGGCATGCACTGCACTTATTCACAAGTCCTCTCTTGTTTGCTATGTGAGCCCTGCTTCCAGCAGCCACTGCCCCATTCCCCAAGCTCTGTGGATGAGGGAACTCGGTGGCCTCTGAGGGGCAAACACACCCCTTAGGTCCTTAGGGTCAGTTGTGTAACCCTCACGATTTTGCCTACAGCCAAACCCATGATGGTTAAAACCCAGTTCCTGTGTGTCCTAGAAGGATGCAAATCTAGCTTGGATGGGACTGTACTGAAAACCAAATCTTCACCTCTCTGGCATTCTCAAGTCCTACACCCAAGTACACCATTACCTTGATGCAGGGCAAGATCTGGGTCATGATCACATTCTCTCGGCAGTCAGCTGAGAGATTTTCACAGAACTCTGTGGACAGAGATGGGAAGGTGCTGGTGAGACGCCACGGCCCAATCCCATTGCTGCCTCTCCGACATCCACCCATCTAGCTGCGTTCTGGTTGCCAGCACCAACCTTTGACCTTGTGGGAGGCAGCGGCCCTCACCTCGGCCTCACAGTCCTTCATCAGGTTCTGGAAGGCGGGCACCAGATCTGTCTTGGTTATCTCAGGCCCTACTGCTTTCTGGAGCTGTACACGAAGAGAAGAGGGGCAGCGCTGGGAGACTGGCAGCCACCCAGAGCTTAAAAAAAAACTGAGGTGAAGGCACCGGGACAATGCTAAGCCACAGCACTGGGGACCTGATCCCAGCACCACACGATCCCCGGTGAAGTCAGCACCTCTACATCTCTGCACGCTGGCTTCCTCCTCAGAAACAAAGGGAATGTTCTGGGAGTATGTTTTCCACTTACTGTTCAGGCTTCTTGGGTTGGATTTCCATTACCTAAACACAGTTAAGTGGCTCCCAGTTTCATCTGACATGAAAATATAAGCATATTTGTATTTTATTTAATTCGCTACAAGAAGCAGGAGTCGTTTTTGTAATTAAAATGAACGAAGAGTGAAGAGGAAGACACCCGAGCCCTGCCACTCTCAGGGACCCAGGAAAAGGATGTGTGTGGTTCTGCTTTAACCGACTTGGAGGACCAGTTGGAAGCAGGATGACTTACCACTGCTAGGAGAATAAATGAGTAAAAACCTTGCAGGACCTCATATTATGCTGGGCACATACTACCTGTTATTTAAGAACATGTTTTTGAAGCCTGGTGGTAGTGGCACAAGTCTTTAATCCCAGCACTTGGGAGGCAGAGGCAGGTGGTTCTCTGTGAACTCTGTGAACTCAGCCTAGTCTACAGAGAGAGTGCCAGGACAGGCTCCAAAGCTACACAGAAAAACCCTGACTCAAAAACAAGTAACAATCAAACAAAGACCATGTTTGTGGTCTGCTGTGGGCAAATTGTTACTTCCATAGCCCAAGGGTCCCATCTTCCAAGGCCTGCTTCCCTCTGAGACAGAAGGGGCAGGAATCGGACTTGCCTTTACTGTGGCACTAAGCCATTTGGCCACACGTCAAACAACTTCACTGTACCCAAGCACACAGTCCTGAGGGCTGAGCCTTCTAGCCAACCCCAGCGATCATCATCACCGGGGGTATTCTTATCCATGTCTCCAGGGGTGCTCCATGCCCACCCTCCACCCCCCACCCCCAGTCAGAGTTTCTCTGTATTGCTTTGGAAGCTGTCCTGGAACTCGCTCTGTAGATCAGGCTGGCCCTGAACTCACAGATATCCCCTGCCTCTGCCTCACGAGTGCTGGGATTAAAGGCGTGCGCCACCAATGCCCGGCCAAGGGGTGCTCTCATCCATCACCTCCGTCCCTTCTCTCACTGAATCCCAGGGCCCCACTGCTCATTCTCTCAGCTTTACATCCTCTACACAGGCCATCTTCTTACTGGGACACAATTCCTATCTAGATGTCACTTCCTCATCCTCCCCTCACTGCCAGGAGGCACAGAGAATAGCACACTCCATCAGCGCTTTCTGCTGACCTTTGGCCTGCTCCCTGAAGGGAAGGATTGTGTGCAATTCACTGACTGCAGGCCCTCCCCCAAAGGCACCGCTAACAACTATGGGCCTGGGAGTACAACCCAGGGTGGAGCACTTGCCTAGCATGGCTCAAATGGGTCAAGCCTTGGCATCAACTCTCAGCACCGGGGCTGGTGGAGTGGATGGGTAGAAGCATGCTGTCAGGTAAGGAAATTTCAATCCTGACCCTTGTGTCTGGCTTAAGGCACTGCTCTGACAACTGACTCTCGCACTGTGTCTTTCTTTCCCTGTGAGGTCAGGGAACGTGATGTCGTGGAGTCGGAACTCGGCTTCAGATGGCTCTCATCTTAGCACTCTCAGCTGCTCATTGAGACTGAGGACTGTGGTCGCTTCAATAAAGCACGCCAGCTCCCACACTGTGGCTCCCATCTCCCCTCAGAGAACCTCAGTGTCTCCTCCTGTGACACCATACCAACCTACCTCTGTGAACTTGTCCGCCACCATGTAGCGGACTCGCCAGGACTTGTCCTCAGCGGCCTGGCGCAGGGTGGGCATCACTAAAGCCTCCAGGTCCTCCTGGGGCAGAAGCTGGGCAATATTCACGCACGCCTCCACTGCCAGCAGCCGCACCGAGTCCTGGGGAGAGTAGGGGTGGGGTGGGGAAGCAGAGGTGCACTGAGCTCCGAGGATCTCTTGCCTGAGCAGGCAAGAGCATGGTAAGCACCGGGGACCGACTCACCTGCTCGTCAGAGGCCAGGTTAGAGAACATGGGGATGATCTCAGACTTGACATTGTCCAGCTCCAACACCTTGGCAAACTCCCCCAGCTTGGAGGCTGCGGCCCGCCGCACCATGGGGGTGTCGTCTGAGCACAGGTTCCGGAAGTACCTGGGATGGATGGAGGCCTGGCCTTAGGATCCTGGGAAGTCCTAGCAGCTGGCAGCCTAGCCCAGCTGGCTCTGCTCTAGACGCTGCTGCTGACAATGGTGACTCTGTTCTACAATTCATAGGCCCTCTCTTCCCAGTCCTACAAACATGGGGCCCAAGGCAACGGCACGTCCCCACGCAGCTGACTTGAGGTGTCAGTGAAAGTGCACAACGAAGTACCAATGACTGGCTATGTCCGTAAAACTGTTTAAAATGCCAACGACGGGTCTTCCTTGTGAGAAGCCTCAGTTAGAGACACAGAGGAACTAATGGAGACATCGCAGTATGTGCATATGGCTGTCATCTAGTACTAAGGAGTGACGGATCAGGACCTGGGCTTCACGGGTCTGAGTGACTGCCAGGAACGTCTACTGAGGTGTCTAAACCAGGGGCAGGCTGCAGGTAACACCAGACAGCACTTGTATGGAGTTCTGGATTCTGTCCCGAGCACGCCATGTATAACCAATGGCAGGAATGAATGTCAGGGAAGACAGGTCAGGCGGGACAGGCCTTGAGGAGGGAGCAGGTCTCAGAGCGCAGCAGCGCTAGGTTCTGCAAAGATCCAGAGGGGCTGAGGCTGCCAGGAACGTTAAGGAAGGTGACAGGGATGCGGGCCACCCAGGGGCAAGTGAGGACTCACTGTCGAAGTTCTGCCTTCACAGCACTGGATACTCGGGGGTAGCAGACTGAGAAGAGGCCGCAGGCCGAGGTGCGGGAGGTGAACCAGTCTCCACCCGCCAGCCGCTTCACTAGAGGCACGAAGTGAGCCTCTAGGTCGGACGGTGAGTGCTCGTGTGAGATGGCCCGTAAGGATTCTACCGCCTTGTCTCGCACCACTGTCTCTTCCACTGTGGCCAGTGATTCCAGGGGTGGCTGTGGTGAGAAAACAGTGTTTTTCCCTAATGTCACAGCTCTGGAACCCCACCACCTGGCCGGTCTAATGAGACTCCTTTGTTCTCCCCACCCCACCCTTTACCACAAGCGTGCCATAAGGACTCCTGAAAGAACTTCACTGGGTCCATGAACCATTTCTCAAGGAGGCCCATGTGTGTGTGGCTCTCAATGTACAGGAGTCCTTGCTGATGCTGGCTGCAACACCCATGAACTGGGTGTTAGGAACACCACTATATTGCTCACATATTTGTCACTCATTTATATGAGCATTGTGAAACAGTCCTGACACTGTCCTCATTAACCAAAGAGCAAGAGTCTGAAGCACACAGGCTATATAATTTGCCTAAGTTACTAGCAGCTACCAGCCAAGATTGAAAAGACCATAGGCTCTCCTTCCCTGCACAGCAGGTCCTGTCAGTCAGTATTGGGTCCTCTCCGTGTGCCCAGGGGTAACCCAACAGAGACGCACAGGCAGGTGGTACGGCAAGGGACAGCCTGGTGCACTCAGGCAAATAATCTCGAAAACCCAGCTACCAGTCCCTGACAGGATGGCTCAGCTTCCTGGCACCCTATGTGGTTCATATATCAAGTTATCTTCCGGCCCAACCATGACAACCACAGCATCTAACTGTGAGTACTCACTATATTCCCTGAGTGAGGCAATCTAAGTCAGATATCAGGGTAGACTTCAGTGGCCTCCAATTTACATAGGCAAGACAGAAAGGTTAGTACTCTTAAAGTCATATAAGTAAGTGGTGGAACTCTTGCCAAACCCATAAGCCTACAAGTGGGGAGCCAGCTGGCCCTAGTGTGGTAAGTATACAGAATGCAGGATAACCTCCAGCCTTCCAAATTCCTCTCCTTCTTGGTCCCCATGGGCAGAACTACAGTTTTGACCTCAAGGTGGGGAAGAGGATTGGGGACCACCCAGCTGTCACTCACCAGCAGGCAGTGCACATACTCAGGTCCCCCAACCAAAGTGGTGAAGGTCCCCAGTTGTTCGGCCAAGGCCAAGAGGACCTCATCTTCATCATAGATGGTGTCTGTGGGACAAAGAGCAAGTCCATCAAAGACCCAAGCTGAACCAGTGACCCAAGCTTAAAAAAGCACACAGCCCTCCGCCTCCTAGCTGTCAGCACCATATCTCACCACCTGCCTTCTTCACCACCCTCCACCTGCCGAGCAGAGTGAGCACAAGTCCCACACCTGCCTTTTCTGTGCTAGGTGGGGGGTGTTAACTGAGTGTCACCACTACCTCCAAGCCCCAGTCTTGGTTTCCTCTCAATGGGGGCAAACACAATCACGTGTATGCAGCACAGGACATTGAGTGGAACTTCTGACTGGGCGCAGCTAAAACACACGGCACTGCCTGCTTTCAGGAACTCCTGCATCTCCAGCCAGGAAATTCTTTCCTACCTTTTAGGGCTTGGATCAGCCACTGCTGCTTGCAGAATTTCCAAGAAGCCGCTAGAGTTAATCAGATCCTTTGCCCGAACTCGCTCTCTCCCATTTCTTCCACTTTTACCAGGCACCCTATCAGCAGCTGTGATCACTTGCAGCCAAGACTAGCTTTGGCGTGCTCCAGTTCCTGACACAGCCAACAGCAGCATGTGCTTAAGCTTGTCAGTTAAAAGAATGAGCGACCAAGCTACAGGGAAACTCCCTGCACTGCCCAACTCAAAGGCATCTCTCAGGTTCTGGCTCTCCTGAGGGAAATGCTGGCTGTTCAC